CCTTTCTTTCCTGCTGCCATCCTTCACACCAGAACTATCTCGTTGGCTAGCGTAACTTAGGATCAAGTCTTGGTCCAATGGCAGAATAAACTTGCTGATGAAGCTTCTTGGTTGGAGAAGAGTGATTTTGAAGCTCGTTTTCCCAATTTCTATTCCATTTTGCCTTGAGGACAAGCCTTTTTAAAGGGGGAGGGTATTATACAAGATATAATTCATACCCGAGTTTTGGCAAGAAATTAAAGTTTGTTAGACAATTTGTTATTTCATTTTTGTCTTTTGTGCTTAGTTTATTATAGCTGGATCAAGGATTCTTTTTGTTAAGTAAGCATGGTTTATTAATGCACATTTGGTTGTAATCGGGGTTATGCAATGAATTACAACATATCTCTCTAATCTTCTCTCTCTTCTCTTTCTCTCTCTATTCTGTTATCTTCTCTGTTCTTCTTCTTCTTCTATCACCTTTGTTTGGAATTTTTGGAGCTAAATTCTTAGCTCAGTCAGTCGAATAAGGTTTATACCTTATCAAATACACAAAACTAAGTTGATCTTGTAAGACTGAGAAATCACGAAGTGATTGGAAACCTTAAAATGGAGAGTTGTGAAATTTGAAATTAATATAAAAGAGGTTTAAAATTAAAAAAAAAAAAAGAGAAAGAAGATGGATGCGTTTGGTTAAGTGGTATCACTCGTTTGTTAGTGGTGTGATTGTGACACAAGTTTAAGGAAATGTCAGATTTCATTTTTTTTTTGGTGTTCCACCTGATTCAACCTTTAGGCCAATCCGGATTTGGGGATCAGTTTTGGGTGGTTAGATTTCAGTCCCCTCCCAATTGTTATTACAAGGGATCGAACACGGGTTCTCCCTACCAAGTGTAATCTCAATCACCACTACTATAACAATAATTATCAATAAGTAACAATTTTAACAATTGAATATAACAATTGTTTTCATTTGTATGAGTGATTGTTGATTTATAGGTTTTTTTAAAAAAAAAAAATAGATTGGGCTTAAAAAACGGTTTGGACAATACATATAATGTAGGTTTACAACTTGGCACAAGAACATGTTTTTTGCTCGTATACTTTTACATGCAATTAGTGCCTCGAGGCATTGGAGTCCGAACTTGATCAAGATGGGCTTGATTTGATTTTAGGCGAGCTTTGGACCTAAAAAATATGCCAAAATTATTTTACTATTGGACAGTCATGGACAAACATTTTTAACATCCGTAATTATTTTTTTTGCTCGACTCGAAATGTCGGAAATGCCCACTAGACCCTAAGCCTAATTGTACGGGTTTAGCAATTAGCAATGTCGGAAATGCCTACTAGAAATAGGTGCACCTGGCCCAATCCGTGCCTAATAGGGGGAGCCCAGACAAAATAAGGCCACGAATTTTTATTTTTTTATTTTTTTTAAGAATATTAATTCCTCTTCTCTCCAACTGTCATATCAATTTAAGTTCAATATTTTTTTTTGTCATATCTATTTTTATTTCATTTTTAAAATTTTCTCTCTCCTCTCATAAACCTTTCTCAATTAATTCTTTTATAATTTCTCTCTCCTTTCACCATTTTTCTTTCTCTAAAAACTGCAATCTACTTATCTACCATAACAAAAGACAAAAAAAAAACACACACAAAAACACCTTTAAAAAGGTAAACATCATTTAAACTTTTTTTATTTTCCTACATTTATGTTAAATATTCTAATATAATTCAACAAATTGTAAAATTAAAACTATATTCTACTATATAATTGTCTTTTTGACTTTTTAATTTTTTTTTTTATTTTGGTAGAAAATCAAAATTATCTGCTTCTATTGAAGAGGATGAAGATGTCTAAGTAATTTATTGTTTAAATTCGCAATTTGATTTTAAATTGTTAATTTTTAGAATTGAATACTAACTTAAACCCTAAAATATTTTAACAGTACAATTAGTCAAATGTTCAACGTCAGAACACCAAAAAAGAAGAAATTAGATGATGTATCTTAGAAAAAAAAACAATTGTTAAAAACTTCTGAACCCCAATTACAAACCACTGAACACTTACAAAAACCTCTAATCCTGGTACAAAACTTTTAAACCCCAACCACAAACCACTAAACACCCTTCAAAAACTTCTAAACCCCTACAAAAACCTCTGAATCTCAATCATAAACTACTGAACACCTTAGAAAAATCTCTAAACCCCCTACAAAAACTTTTGAGCCCCAACCACAAACCACTGAACACCCTTCAAAAACCTCTGAACCCCTTATAAAAACTTCTGAACTCCGACCATAAACTACTGAACATCTTACAAATACCTCTGAACTCCCTACAAAAACTTCTGAAACACAACCACAAATCGCTGAACACCCTACAAAAACCTCTGAACCCCCTACAAAAACTTCTGAACCCCAACCACAAACCACTGAACACCCTTCAAAAACCTCTTAACCCCTTACAAAAACTTTTGAACCCCAACAACAAACCACTAAACACTCTTCAAAAACCTCTTAACCCCCTACCAAAACCACTGAACCCCAACCAGAAACCATTGAACACCCTTCAAAAGCCTCTAAATCCCTCCCCCCCCCCCACCCAAAAAAAAAACTTTTGAACCCCAACCACAAACCACTAAACACCCTTCAAAATACTCTAAATCCCTCCCCCCCCCCCCACCCAAAAAAAAAACTTTTGAGCCCCAACCACAAACCACTAAACACCCTTCAAAAGCTTCTAAATCCCTCCCCCCCCCCCAAAAAAAAAAAAAAAATTTGAACCCCAACCACAAACCACTAAACACCCTTCAAAAGCTTCTAAATCCCTCCCCCCCCCCCCCAAAAAAAAAAAAAAATTTGAACCCCAACCACTAAACATCCTACAAAAACCTCTAAACCCCCTATGTATAAAACTTCTGAACCCCAACCACAAACCACTGAACACCCTTAAAAAACTTCTAAACCCTTACAAAAAATTTTGAACCCAACCATAAACCACTAAACACCCTACAAAAACCTCTGAACTTCATACAAAAACTTCTGAACCCCAATCACAAACCACTGAACACCCTAAAATAATCTCTGAACCCCGTACGAAAACTTCTAAACACCGACCACAAACCACTAAACACCGTAGAATAATCTCTGACCCCCCTACAAAAACTTTTGAACCCAACCACAAACCACTGAACACCCTTCAAAAACTTCTACACTTTCCAAATGTTCAGATTTATAAATCATAAAGTAGAGAATGCCAATTTTTTAATAAAATTAAAAATACATAATCGAAAACAAAAATAAGTTTATAAGTAATGTATCGCATGTTCATAATTATAAAAAAGATGTTCGTAATTTCAAAAATACATGTTATGTATTTACAAAAAAACGTATCATACGTTCATATTTTTAACTTAAAATGTTCAAAATGCTAAAACATAATCAAATACAGAACTGTTCATAACAAAAATACACAATTATCACTAAAAAAATCATAAGAATATGAAAGCTACATATTTTGAAACTAAAACCTAGCCATGGTGATTTAGATAATAAAATCTCGTCGGAAAATAAACACACCATCATCTTAACCACCTTCTATTCGACGACGCCGCCATTTTTAGCTTCACTATTTCATTGTAAAAATTCCATTAACAAAGCTTCAAATTGAAGGTTGAAGAAAACAAAATTTGAATTTAATCTATTGTTATGAAGGAATTATTACACCTATGATGATCAACAATATGAAAGAATTCAATTAAAAGGATGATGAACGAATTCAAGAAAAAGAAAAAATAAAGGGTTTTTCTCATTTGTACCCATGTGGTTTTACGTTTTCTCACCTGTACCCAAGTTTTTTGAAATTTCTCATTTGTACCCATGAGGTTATAACAATTTATCACACATAACCAATTTCATTAACTAAAATGATAATCCTCTATTAAGTGATCAATTAAAAATAAAACCATTGTTTTAAAGGATATAAAAAATAAAACAGAAAATAACCCCACCACCAGCCACCTTCCCCAGCCCCCGCACCACCCCAGCCACCTCCCCCACTCCCCGGTAACTTCCCCCCACCCCCAACCAGCCCCACCATGACAATCTCCCCCCACCCCTTGCCGCAACCTCCCCAACCACCAAAACCCCCTACGAATCTAAACCCTAACCCTAACCACCACACCAAACACCCTATTCGACCTTCCCAAACCAACCTGACCCCTCCCCAAACCTCCCCACCGTCCGCCGACCACAAAACCGACAACCCCTGACCCTCCCCGACCCGTTTCCACCCTTCCCCACCCTAAACTCGACCCAAATTATCCCCCTTCCACCCAAATCCGACAACCCCCGCCCCTTCTCGGCCACTCCCCGTCCCCTGGCGACCAATCCCCAACCCTCCCCGCCCAACCCGATCCCCACCTCCACCAGTTGCAACTTTTTTTTTATTAATTAATTTTATTTTTTTTATTATATTAACCATGGTAATTAACCATAGTTAGTTATATTTTATTTTTAATTGCTCACTTAATAGAGGATTATCATTTTAGTTAATGAAATTGGTTATGTGCGATAAATTGTTGTAACCTCATGAGTATGAATGATAAATATCAAAAAACTTGGGTACAAATGAGAAAACATCAAACCACATGGGTACAAATGAGAAAAACCCAAAAATAAAATAGAGAGAAAAATAGAGGGGAGAGAAAATAGAGGAAAGAGAAAATAAAAGAGAGAGAAATTAGAAATTAGGAAAGTAGAGGAGAAAAGAGAAGAGAGAGAATATTTTAATTAGTAGTTCACATAGATTTATATGCAACATGATGCATCTTATAATTTGCCTGGGTTTAGGTAAAGTATTTTGGCCCAAGTTTTGACATGGCATGACTTAATGGGCTGATTTTTTAAGCATTGATCGACACAATTTATGATTACCACTACCGACCCTCGGCACTCAGCTGGCTCGTTATAAAAAAAAAAAAAAAAAAAAAAAAAAAAAAAACATTTGAATCTAGAAGAGTAGACAATCTTTTGAGTCAAAACATAACTCTTGCCAAAACCTTGAGTTGTGATTGGTCGAAGCACGTCATTTTTCTCATATTTCCACAACATTTGAATTTTCTTTTATTACATACATTCTTTCTTCGTAGTATCGTTACACTTCACTGAAATCAAATCAAATCACATTCAATTTTTCGCATTTAATCAAATCAATGTGCGTTTACAATTAAAACACCCAAACCCCTTTACTGTTTTTCCATTGTTTTCAACGCTGGATTCCTCTCAATCAACCATTTGAATGGTCAATTTTTCCCCTCAAATTTCACAAATTGTTGCTTCAATTCATCGCTCAAATTGCTCAAATTCGCCTAAAATCGCAAGTCTAAGGTATTGATTTTGTTAAGTTTCGCAATATTTCAAAATTTGTAGCTGAATTTACTTGTTTAGTGAATTTTTTACTGGGTTATAATTTTTTTTTTTGGAAAGTGTGAAGCAAAAATTGGGGTTTTAATGGATGGGAAGAAGAAGAGTGAGGGTGGAATCAGATGGCGATGGGTGACAATGGTAGCTTTAATGGCGATTATTCTTGCAATGAGTACAAAATCTAGTTGGAAATCCAATCGTTGCAAACAGGTTTATATTCTTTCTTTCTTTTTATTAATTTTTGCAATGATATGTTGAATTCTGCTTTAAATGCATGTTATTATTGATGGGTTTTGCTTAAATTGAATTGGGGTTTGTTTGTTAGAGATTGAAGAATGATGATAATGATATTTGTGGGTATTAGAGATGTGGAATGACTGAATGATCAATTTTATACGATTGATCAGTGGTGTTTTGTTGGAATTGTTAGTAATCGTTTATACCTGAAATAAGATCATTGTGGTGCTCGGTAGGTTGCTCAGGATATTTAAGAAATCTTGACAAAGAGTGGTTTCTCTTTTTATAATGCAAGAAAATTCCAAACAATGTTGTGAGGCCTGTGACTATTGGAGTTGATTTAAATGAATTTGGACGAGTCGTGTTATTGAGTGGTAATGGATTTTTATGAAGAAAAACACACATTGGGGAGGGATTTCTTTTACCATGGTAATATACAAAAATATCATTGCCATTCCATGATGTATAGCTTCTTACTAAACGGGCCGTTGGGTTTCTTAAAATGTTGTTGATTGTAGTTATTACCTCTGCCAAAAAGAGGGATGGGGGGAGGAGGGGTTTGAGAAACAATGTTCTGTAAGTGTTTTTAGGATATTAGGATTGAATGAATTGGATTATAGTGCTAATACTTTTCAGTACTTGAAGGAAAGAAACTATTTTTAGTCTTCTGTTGTCATTTCTTTTTATAAATTTGCTCATTCATTAACTGCTGTTTGCTAATAATATGAAACATTTAGGATAAAGCCGCATTTTAATTATGTGTGAGTATTCTCCATGTCTCCTTGATTAGGACTTTAGTAGTGAGCCGTTTCTCACAGCCCATAGGCCTTATAGAGTAGCTGTATTAGTTTTGAGAATTTAGTTGATGTATGTATCTAAGTTATTCCAAATCCAATCCTCGGCAGAAATTATAGGGAAATACTGCTGAATTTTTTTTATATTGAATCCTTGAAATTTGAAAAACTATATACACCTTAAAAATTAAAGGATAGTTCCTTTGTTGATCGTCCAAATCTTGTAGAATTAATCATAGTTTGTCACTGTGCTTTTTCATTTTGGTTTTCAGTTTATGTTAAAGGGATCATTCATAAATATCATTAGAAAAATGGTATTGACATCTGATTGTCTTTAAGCAGGAGTCATGTAAATTTACGGGAATGGTGGAGGATTGTTGTTGTGATTACGAGACAGTAAGTGTTCTAAATGAAGAAGTTTTGCATCCTTTGCTGCAAGAGCTCGTTACTACACCTTTTTTCAGATACTTCAAGGTATAATTCATTTTTTATGGCTAAAATATAGAGCGCTATTGCTCATAGTTAGTCTTGACAAGTTCACATCTTAAGTCCCTGAGGGAGGACAAGGGAACCTCACTTCATTGCAATTCTGCAATTTCTAGTTTTAGTAGTTAATCTTGACCTTTTCCTTAGAGGCTCATATTAAACAAATCTGTTAACTTTAAACCATTTTTGATTTTGATAGGCTAAATTATGGTGCAATTGTCCATTCTGGCCTGATGATGGGATGTGCCAATTACGTGATTGCAGTGTCTGTGAATGTCCTGAAAATGAATTCCCAGAAACTTTTAGAAAGCCATCAAATGTCCTCAGGAAAGAAGATTTGATGTGCCAAGAGGGGAAACCCCAAGCTATAGTTGACCGAACACTAGACAAAAAGGTGTTCAGAGGCTGGGCAGAGGTTGATAATCCGTGGACAAGTGATGATGAGACTGATAACAGTAAGTTCCCTCTCTTTGTTGGTTGGCATGGTTTCATTAAGGTGTAAAAATTCCACATTGCTTATTTTCTTCCCTCTTCCTATGTTAATCTTCTAGAGGGCTAGATAAATTAATGTTGAAGCACTTTTATTCTGAGAGATAATTTTGTTAAGGAGTTGACTGTGCACTGTAATTGTTTTGGATTCTTCTTTTGATCATAATAAGATTAACTAATTGTGTTGTTATCTTTGACTGAAATTTTCATGTTGAAATTCATATGTCATGTGAAAGTTACTGTGATATCCTTTCTTTGATTTTTAAGTAACCAATTGTTTCTTGGTTTCAGGTGAAATGACCTATGTAAACCTACTGCTCAACCCAGAACGTTATACGGGCTATACAGGTCCTTCAGCCAGGAGAATATGGGATGCGATATATTCAGAAAATTGCCCAAGATGTAAGTGATAATTTCATTTATTCATAAGTTTCTAGCATTAAATGTATATGAAATGACTATTCTTAGTTGGAACTTGGGCTTAATTTTCTTTAAAATAGGCTACTTTTAATTTGAAATAGACTGGTGTGCATGAGAAAACTGAGTAGTCTTGTTTTATTTACTTCCATTCAATATTTTAGTCTTACTAGGATACAATGATCCTAGCATGATCAACATTTGATCTTCAGTTTCACTTAAAAAGATCTTTTGGGTCTTATCATTTCGTAAAGTTCCAATTATGATTTTTTTTTTTTTTGTTTTTTTTGTTTTTTTTTTTTTTTTAATTGGTATTTATTTATAAACTCATAATTTGCACAATTCTAGGTATCTTTTGAGTTAGGATAACTATGTACATACTCCCTCCGTTTTTAAATACTTGCTCCACTCTCCTTTTTCGGCCGTTTTTAAATACTTGCTCCATTTCCTTATTTGGAAAGCTTTTACAATATTTAACTAATTTCTCTCACCTAGTAGACCCACCACATATTCTCTCTCCTCCAATCCTCTCCACTACTTTTGCTTTTTACAATTTATTATTCTTCCATCTACCCCACTACCTCCATATATTATTAATTTCTCCAATTTCTCTTAAAACTCCGCGCACGGAGAAATGGAGCAAGTATTTAAAAACGGAGGGAGTACTACTTATCAACTATATTTGTATATTTTTTTTTTTCAAATTTGTCGAGCGCTTGTTGTCAGAATGTCAGACTACTCAATTATCTATTGCTGATTAGGGGCATATTATTAGATAACCAGTAACATACGCTGATGGGGAGAGCTCACTTGAAATATTAAGTTAAAGACCTTGGTGTTTTGTGAAGATTGTGGATTAGGATCCACAACTAGATGTTATCCGCTTGTGAATTTGAATGTTTGATTGTTACTGTAGCAGCTCCTCAATTTCAGTTCTTCCCCCTCTCATGTCTACAACAGAAACAGCAGTGATACATTCAATAGTATCTTGTGGCCCTTATAATGATAAGATAGAATATGGTGGTAGGTAGTAATGAAGTAAGGTGCTCCCAAGGAAGGAGTCAAAATCAAAATTTTCTATTTTTCTTTCTTTTGTATTTTTTGTTAATCTTGTTTTGGTATACCATTATCTATGTTATTTCAACTCCTCATTTTAACCCAAGTCTCATAATTTACATGTGGTATCACTGGCTCTTAAGTCTTAATGAATCCCAGACATCATTTGAGTTTGGTTGTACATATCAACTAAAATTGTAATTTTTTTTCTTCTAGGTTATTAAGTGCTTATTGTCAGGCTACTTATTGTAATTTTTCCAGTTTATGTACATGTCAACCAAAACTGGAAAAGACTCAATTTGAATTCTAGCCTTTCCATGTTGGGATTGTATCTTAGAAAGTAAGATTTTTACCTTGTTTGCTGCTGTAGAAAACTTCTTATTCATTGAACTGATTCAATTAATCTAGTGTGCCCTTTCCTTGTCAAGTATTTCTAGTGTTGGGATTTATACTAATACAAGATTTATACATATTGCATTTTATATCTCTATTTTGTTTCACAATTAAAGAACATGGAAATTTGTGGCATGTTTGAAATTTCTTATAGTGCAAGACACACATCATGCGTAATTTTATCAACATTGTTACATAGGAAGATATGAAAAGGAGATCAGATTTTTATTGACATGGTTGTACAGTTTTGGTAGATGCATTCAGAATTATCTTAGGTAGTATCTGTTGGTTATAGAAGGATCCTTGATGGAATTTAATCCTACTTGGCTTTGCATGTCACTACTATTTATGCTAATTAAGCTGATGCATTTCCCTATTGTCCTGGAAGTCTGCTCTTTGGCGTTTATTGTTCATCTGGAATAGATCATTGATCCTAATTTTTGGCGTTTAGGGTTCATGCGGAATTCCATCTCTGTATCTTAGAGTAGTAGCCATGTATATTTCTTGTGTTAGGACCAATGACCTATTGTGTACAGACACTTTACAATCTGTTGGGTAAGTTTGAATTCTGCCAGACACCATAGTTTTTTTTTTTTCCCCCTTTTGGGTGGGGGGGATTCCCTAACTTTTTGTGTGATTGGGGAAGAGAGTAAATAACAGCAGACACTGGAAAATGCCTTTGATCACAACTTACCGGTTATTATTAATATACATTCTAGATTAATGCTTTATTCAGCCAATTGTGTCTGAAATCTATGAACTGAACTGAACTGAATATTGTATGAGAGAGGGAAATTAGGAGCTGAATTGAACTGAACTGCACTTATTAGAGCTAAACTGAACTAAAAATAATCTGATGAGAACAGGGCCTAATCCTATGTTTGAATAGTTGGATAGAGAGAAATGGAGGTACAAGAAGAGAAAAGAAAAGGATGCATCATCCTTTGTTTGGATATCTAATGCAAGGAGGGAAGGGGAGGGAATTGGAAGGATCCATTTTCCTTCCCCTTTTGATGAACTAAATCCCTCCTTTATTAGAGAGATATGAAGGGAAAATGGAAGTTAATCTTCTCCCTCCCCTCCCCTCCCTTTCCCTTCTCTCTTTTTTCTCTCCTTCCCTTTTCCTACTGTATTGTTATCCAACAGTTTCCTATGTGTATTTTTCTGTGGTGTGTGTGTGTGTATATATATATATGCTCTAATCGATAGTTTAATGAGGGATGAGCATATTCCTTTTGTGTGCAGATGCATCGGGAGAGATGTGCCAAGAGAAGAAGGTTCTTTACAAATTGATTTCTGGTCTGCATGCATCTATTTCAGTTCACATTGCTGCAGATTATCTCCTTGATGAAGCCACCAACACGGTATCATAATTTCTTCCAACCTGAAATTTAATTTTTTTCTATTAAATGATATTATAGGAGGAGAAAAACATCATAATTTATGCCAATCTAAACATCCCCAGCCTTTGTTATTCATTGAACCCACAGTGAATTTTCACTTGACCTAGTTGGATTTTTAATACATGCTCCTTCCTTTCCATATTACCTGTCCACTCGGAAATTTTCTCATCTGTTGTTCTCAGTCACTACAAATTACCAATTTGATGATAGTTTTTGTCACTACAAAGTACTGATGAAATTCTAGTCAGTTTTGAATGTCAATACAATAACTAACAAATAATTGACCTCAGAAAACATTTACTCTGTGTTAAAGCATCGAATGAGTATTACATAAAAGGTATGTCAAATATGGCCATAAGGACCTATATAGCTGTTGGGATTCTTCTTTAATTAATATTGGCTACTATTGCAGTAATGTGTTATCTTGAAATCTTTTGTTTTTTGTTTATTTTTTTCAGTGGGGACAGAATTTTGACATAATGCATGATCGAGTTTTGAGACATCCAGAACGTGTTCGAAATTTATATTTTGCTTTCCTTTTTGTGCTCAGAGCTGTAACAAAGGTATGTTTGATTAGAGAACGTAGTTTTGTAGAGAATAATTGAAGTGCAGATCAGCATTCTAAAGCTTCACCTATCTGAATGGTATAGGCATCAGACTATTTGGAGCAAGCTGAGTATGACACTGGTAATCATGAAGATGACTTAAAAACTCAGTCCTTACTGAAACAATTGCTTTATAATCAGAAGCTTCGTGCTGCATGTCCACTTCCATTTGACGAAGCTAAGCTGTGGCAAGGGCAAAGTGGGCCTGAATTGAAGCAGCAGCTTCAAATGCAGTTTAGAAATATAAGGCATGTCACATTATTAATCTCTTTTTAAATTGTTCTACTTTGACTTTTATGTTTGCCAATGCAGAATATTGACCATAATATTTGGGACCGAGTTTTTTGGTCCGCCATATTCTTGTTTTAACAATTCATAATTAAATTAGCTGATTCGAGATTGTTAATGAAATTCGACTGACACGCAAACATTTAGAAAGGGAGTATGTAGTTATGTACTATCTCATTAACTAAAAATATTAAGTCTGGAGGGAGTAAATAGTTATGTACTGTCTCAGCATTTTCATGTCCGTCTCTTTATGCTAGTTAATGAAACTTGACTGACACGCAAACATTTTGCAGTGCATTGATGGATTGTGTGGGGTGTGAAAAGTGTAGATTATGGGGTAAACTACAAGTTCTTGGTCTTGGCACAGCGCTGAAGATCCTACTTTCAGTCGAGGGTGACAACCATTTAAATCAATCTGTGAGTGACTATCATAGGTTTTTATTTAGTTGACTATGTATAATGGATTCCTTTTCCCTTATTTGAATATTGATTTGGAATGGGAAGGGAAGGAAATCATAAGTACTCAACTTCCTTTCCCTTTATAAACCGAAGTACTTCCAAAGTTTTAAGGATTTGGAGGGATGACACGTTACCTTCCCCTCTCTTTCTAATTTTTCCCTTTCCCCGAGTTTCCCTCCATTGCTGTCTGATCATACTGTGAATTCTTTCAGAAAAGCACTGATTGGTAATTGTTTGTACTTGTGCTTCTTTATTGTGCAGCTGCAATTGCAAAGGAATGAAGTGATTGCACTGGTAAACCTGCTTAACCGGCTTTCGGAATCAGTCAAACTGGTGCATGAAATGGCACCTTCTGCTAACAAGATAGTTGGCCAAGTTTTAGAACTTCCCTCTCATGAAGTCAGCACACTACAGAGAATATGGCAGTCAGTGAACAATCTAAGGTGATTGTCTTACAGGAATTGTCCAATTGGAGGCTTGTTTACGCAATTTATATATACTCAGACGAGGTTTCTTATGCATGCTAAGTTTACTAACACTAGAGAAATGATTTACAGGTCAAAGAAATCTTCATGATGTGATAAAATCTTCAGCGGCAATTTTGTTTTGTCCATCATTAAGCTGAGTAGAGTTTGTAGTTATAAGAATATACATGTTGTAAAGAATTTTCCAAAATTTGTACATTAACATAATAATAATAATAATAATAATAATAATAATAATAATAATAATAATAATAATAATAATAATAATAATAATATTAGTGAACATTAGTTGAATGTTCATTATCTCTTGATTTGACATGTAAAATTAAGTAAAAGTTGTTAGAGTAGCCATTAATACTTCGTACTTGAGAGGGTCTAAACTAAAATCCAAAGCGACATGATTATGAACCACAACCTCCAACTAAAAATGTAATGGACTAAACTATTGTAGTGAGTCTTTAGTATATTTTGTACACTAATTTATTTACTTTGGACTTCATTATTCAAGCGAATCTGCTAACGTGAAACTATTCAGGAGGGGGAAAAAACTTGCCCAATTATGGTTCATGCATTTACAAGAGGTCTATGTAATATAAGGGGACATTGGAATGAATTTGGAATTAGGAATGAAGTTAAGGTGGTATCGAGTAGGAACTTGATACTTAATACCATGTGTTTGCTTCAATTTTGGAATGAGATCTCTCGCTATTCCCTCCTTTTATCGATACCTAAGAGAATGGAATAGGCTAAATTCACCTTCCTCCAAAGGTTTCAATACCCCATACCTTATAGGTTTAAAATTGATACTTTTGACAACCAAACATATGGTACAGGTTAGACCTGGCAATCGTGACTTGATCTGAATGACCCGACCCGTGAACCAAAATTTGACCCGAAATCATTAATCCGAACCCGAACGAACCCGATTCGACCCAAATCCGACTTGAATTGGAGTTAACTCGAATAAGGCCCGATTCCTGAAATGATCCGACCCGAAATTGACCCGGAACCCGAAATTGATCCGAACCGAAGTGGCCCGACCCGATTTAGACACGAATTGATTGACCCGAATCGACCTGATCCGAAGTGATCCGACTTGAATTGACCCATCACGAAGTGACCCGATTCCTGAATTGAATAGGGTGAAATGGTGAATTACTTATTTTAGGGCTTCTTTCTTTCCTAAGTCATAGGTACTCACAATTTTTTATTTTCTTTACGATTTTATTTTATTTTTCCAACTATTTTTCTAAGTGAATATATTTTGGTGACCCGACCCAAACTTGATCCAATCTGAATTGACCCAACCCGAATTGACCCGACCCAAATTACCTCGACCCGAAATTGACCCAACCAGAAATTAACCCGAAATTGGTCCTAAAAATTGACCCAACCTAAATTGACTCGACTCGAACTTGACCAACCCGAACTTAACCCGAAGTGCTGACCCAAATTTGACACAAAACTTAAATTGACCCGACCCGAATATTTACTACCTTGAAATTGACTCGACCCGAATGACCCGTTTGTCAAGTTTAGTATGGGTTTTAGTCATTTTTAACCCATACCTCATACTTATATTTCGCGAATCAAACACCCCCTAAGAGGTGTCTATCATTCTATGTAATAAAATGGTCTCTATGTAACTTTCACACTAAAAAAACAAAACCATGTGGATGGAGCCAACGTGAACAATGAAATTTCACATGGGTTACCATTTAGGATGTTTTTTTTTTTAACGGCATTTACGATGGTTATTAGGAGAGAGAGTAGTGTAAATATATTACAAACAATTATAGAGAGAAAAAGGAGCAGTGACAAGAGTGAGGGATAACTCAAGTGGTTAGACCTTTTCTCCCGATTTCAGGAGATTCTGGGATCGATTCTCACCCCGCCCTTTTGGCTCTCTAACCACCAAAAAATAAATAAATAAATAATAGCCTAGTTTAAGTTATAATGGGTTATTGTAAAATGGTTATTAAATAAAATATTATTCCCACTTTTGTAAGACTTCCCGTCCATTTAATAGTTATTGACATGGCAATGTAAGGTATTGGCACACATTATAATGATCAATGGTCACGATGCATTTATAATGTATAACTATTAGGCAACTATTGAAATACATGAGTTATAAAATGATTACTCCGTAATAAAAGTTGTTGCAAATAAAGTTGAAGAGAAAGAAAATAATAAAACAAATGATAACCACAATGGTTATGGACTTATGGTTAACCATTGGTTATGCTCTAGTATGAAAATTATATGGACACCTTTTTTTATTTACATAGGCACCTTTTGTAAATGCATAGCCAACCATAATTGGGCATGTTTTGCCCCCACCTGTTCAGGGTCTAAGTCAGTGTAGCCGGACTCACCTGCTTATGGTGTGTTGATTTTTATCTAACTTGACTTTTTATTATAAGTCTCGATATTGAGTGTTGTGTCGTCCTTGATAAGCACTAAAAACGGATAAAATAAGTTGAAAAAACACGCCTTTAATTTTCATGCCAACCCATGTACATAAATAGGTTGAAAACTTAAATTAAACCGCTAATTGTCATGTAGATTATTTGCCGATTTTACCGTAACACCGAATAAGGAGTTGTAGGATTGTTATCTGATGCTTACAATTTTCTTGATTTAGCTTGACCCATAAAGCTTTAGGCTTGCTTGACCTTGCTTGTTCCGTGTCAAGCTCCAGTTCAAGTTGAAAAGTTATATTCAATTTATGTTAGTATATGAGCTATATTGTTTGCGACAAGCAACGAATTATGGTAAGACTTTTCAAAATGATTTTATGGGGTATCATTTAATAATATACTTCCTCTGCCCACTATTATCTGCAATAAAGGAGATTTTTGCAGATTCCTAGGCAAAATTTTTAGTGTACTTTAATTAAGTTTTAGTGGGGTTAAATAAGTGGGAAAAAGGAGGGAAAGAAGTGGTCCCCTTTTTTTGGGAGGGAATGGGGGTGGGTTTAATTAAGTGGGAAAAAGGAGGGAGATTAGTGGTCCATTTTTTTCATTTTGTTGAACAGCATAGCCAAAAGGAGAGGGAATGTCCTTTTTTCCTCTTAATATTTGGTGATTTTTTTTGAAATTTTATATTTTCAACTAAACTTTGAATTTTTTTTTGCAATTTCACTACAAATTTTTCCCTCAAAGGGATAATTCCAACCAAAATCAGCCACATATAAAAAGGCATTCAGCATTTATTGTTCATATTCAAGAGATGCCGACCCACCATGGACATTAAATACACATCTAAGTTTGTTCAAAAGAAACCCATTAATTACATCCATAAATAGTCAAAATATTAACTGCCTAATATGAAATTAGTCCTAAACTAAGGACAACATTAGGGTTCCGCTTCATCACCACTTCACAAAAACTTGAGCAGCCAAAAAATTTCATCACCATCCTTTAAATCTGCAAAAAAAAAAAAAAAAAGGAAAGAAAGGACACCAAACACATGGAAGATGTCTTTGATCAAGATTTTTTTGGTATAGAGCAGTTACTAAATGAGGGACCAGTTTAGTACAGCAATGATGATAGTAGCAATGATGATGAAGATAATGGAGATAACAATGAAGGAAAAGAACAAGAAGTACCACATGTGACAAGTAGCTAGGAAGCAGTTAACTATGCAGCAAAAACGACAAATGGTTGATGACATACTGTTAAACATGCAGGGTAGGGAATTAAAAAGAGGCTTTCTGTCACAAATGGCACTCAAATATGGCATTCACGGAAGTACATCACTTAAGGTATGGAAATTTAATTTCTTAAGAAAAGTATAGCACAAGGAATGTCACTGGTGTCATGAGCTACAAACTTGGAAAAACTGGTCCCAAGCCAAGAGATATTTCTAATGAGTGGTTGCAGTCAATGCCATTATATAAAAGGACAACATAATGGAGTTTATGTAGCTGCTCTTAAAGTGTCACATAGATTCCTCCATAACTTAAAGAAAAGGGGCATATTAAGAACACATACAAGCACCAACCATTGAACTTTGACATCAAATCACAAAGTGGCAAGATTGAAGTGGGCATTAGGGCATATTCACCCAATTCCAACAGTTGGGAATCTAACTTTCATGGACATGCAAGAGTAATACACATAGATGGAAAATGGTTCTATATAAACCCTAAAACAAGGAGGTTTTACCTCTTATCAAAGGAAGAAAACCCCAACAGATGTCAACAATCCAAGAGATATATAAAATAAAAGCTATGTTTATGGGAATGATTGATAAGCCGTTGTATGACATCAATGGAAATATGCTGCATGATGGTAAGTATGAAATTTTTTCATTTACATACCAACAAAGGGCTAAGAAGAAAAACAAGAATATAGATGCAGAGGTCCTTGAGACTAAGGCAGTACAAAGTATGACTAAACAAGAAATCAGGAAAATGCTCATGAACAACATCATTCCAATAATTCACAGGCAATGGCATCCTAGTATTTCTAGAGACATATTCATCCAATGGGATAATGCAATGCCACATCAGATTCCAAGGGATGAGGAATTCATTGTAGCATGTACTACTAATGGTTTAAACATTCAAATAGTGTTTCAACCAGCTCAATCTCTAGATTAATGTCCAAGATCTTGGGCTGTTCAAGGTCATGCAATCTTTGCAATACCATTCCTTCCCCACTACAATAGATGAACTAATAGAGAAAGTATATGTACCATATAAGTGGTTTGATCCAATATTGAACAAGTACACATGGATCACTTTACAAGGAGTAATGAAAAAAGATTCTGGAGAAATAAAAGGGCAACAACTTCAATACACCTCATATGGGCAAGAAAAGGTTGGAATACCCAGGTCTGCTATCTGAGCTGTTGGAAGTTAAAAAGGGACTCATTCAACAGGGAATTGACCACCTCAGCACACTTTTTATTCCAACGAATCAGAACAATGCAAACAATGCAGACAACAGTCAGATGGAGGTGGATGCAGACTAGGTACAACTCTTGAACATCATTCAATTAGAACATGACTTCCACACATAACCAAACAAGGGATCACAACATGTTTTTGTCTTAAGTAAGCTTTTTTTTTTGTTAATGCTTATTATGGTTTGGTTATGTGTAATTTGATGGATAAACTTTCTTATTTTTAGGCAGTCATGTAATGAATGGCTAGATAAGCCTCGTGCGATGCACGACATAAAAAAGTTC